AATAAATATCCATTGCCTCGCATTGATGATTTATTTGATCAGTTACAGGGTGCACAAGTGTTCTCCAAAATTGACTTTAGATCTGGATACCACTAGTTAAAAGTCAAGACAGGGGACATTGAAAAGACTGCATTTTGAACGAGGTATGGACATTATGAATTCTTAGTCATGCCTTTTGGAGTTTTGGACTGGTTTTGATCCAAAGAAGGAGGTTAGACCATTTGTTCTTCAAGGGTTTGGTTTGGGATGTCCTAAAAAAGTGCACTTTTTGACTTATTGGTGGGTTTGGGTTGGGTTTGGGTTGGGTTTGATGTGATGTGTTAGAGAGGTGATGTGATTTAAATAAGATGATATGACTTAAATAAGATAGTGACTTTTTGACTTTTTGGCTTATTTAGTATATGCCAAACTAGCCCTTAAACTGCAAATTGAAGGCCTTATCGGCGACCGAATCCGAAATTGATTAACGTTTTATGCTAATTGGAATTTATGTGATTTTATGGTAATTTTAATTGAAATGTGATTTGGTATGTTTAAATTGGATTAAATAATGCTAATTTACAAGAGTTGGACTTATTCACCAAAATGCCATGATAGTGGGCCACTTATCAATTCATGTTTGAAGCCTATTTCACTTTTGATACAACATTTCCTCAGCCATTTCCTAGAGCAAACTGATTGTGAGAGAGAAAGTAGGAGGATAGGCTTGAATTCATCAAACTTAACTAGAAGAATTGAAGGCTAATTGTGCAATTTGAGCTTGTATATCTTGCATTCTAGACCTAAGGTAGAACATTTACCTTCTTGTTTGTGAATTTAAGTTAATTCTTGCATGGCTCATGGTAATTTAGTCATCTAAGTCTAGAATTGGTTTACAATGTTGAATTGAGAGCTAGATCATGCATGCATGTATATATTTTGAAGTTTAAAGTTGTTTTCATGGAAATTCTCACTTGCATGTCCATATCTTGAGTATAGTCCATGAATTCATCTTGTTATAGAAAGAATTGGCTCATTTGTTCATGTTTTGGAAGCTCGAAGTTGATTTAATTCATACATGTTATGTTTTACATCATGTTCATGGAATTTGTTTGAATTTGTGTTCAATTGAATTATCTTTGGGCCTTGATTTTACAAATTAAGCTTTGAATCATGTTAAACTATGAATTTACAAGTGTTTTCCAGAAAATTGGCCCAATGGGATCGAATTTGATGTATTAAAACTTGATTTTGAGCTTGAGGTTCAAATCTGGAAATTCCAGATTGTGGACTCCCACTCGAGCGGGGTAAGTGACGCTCGAGTAGGAAATTCGTGTATCCAGCACTTTTGTTGTGTTTACAGTCCGCTCGTGCGGGGTTTTGTACGCTCGAGCGAGGACTTGTGTCACACGCTCGAGCGGGTGTCGAGCGCCCATCGAGTGTGATTTTCACACATCCAGTACTTTTGCAGTACGCTCGAGCGGATCCTTTTGTTTGCATGTCCGCTCAAGCGGGGAAACCCACGCTCGAGCAGGACCTCTGTTTTTTGAAAATTCTGAAAATATTTTAAAGTGCATCTTTGCATCCTTATTCTTAACCTCTTTACGCATATGTTATTCACTGGGTTTTAGCTCACTGCTCATATATATATGTAGGTGTACAGGCACCGGACCGTTGCTATAAGCGTCAGGGTAAACTCCAGTTTTGTCAAGCCAACCAACGTACCTCACTGAGAGGTTCCAAGTCCTTCAAGCTAGGGCTTTTGGGGTGTTTTAGTTTTCTCCCTTTTTGTTTATGTTCTGTATAGACTGAATGATGTTGTACTGTACTGTTAGGGATTAAGTCCCTATCTTGAATGATTGTATATATTGTACATACTGTTTTAGTACTGATTATATATATATATATATATGAAAAGTCTTTTTGCATACAGACTGTCACAACTTATTGGACATCTTTTAATTACTATTTTGGCTTCCGCCAGCCCCTGTACTCTGTATTACTGTGTTACTGTTAAGCAGGCCTTCGGTAATCTCAGATTACTGGCCGATTACGGTGCTAAACCCATAGGGACGGGTTTGGGTCGTGACAATAACTTTGTAGGGAAGCATTAACAAAGATGATTATGATTGATGAATTACCTTTTAAGCATGTGGAAAAGGAAGGGTTTAGAAATTTTTGTTTAGTTATGGAACCTAAGTTTCTTGTCCTTGCTCGTGATTGTCTAAACTTATTTCATAATGAAAAGCAAAAATTAAAAAAAGTTCTAAGAAAGTAACGTGTATGCCTGACCACTAACACTTAGACATCAATTCAAAATCTAAATTATATGTGTGTCACCGGCCAATGGATTGATAATGATTGGAATTTGTACAAAAGAATTCTAAGTTTTTGTATAGTTCCTAATCATAAGGGTGAGACAATTGGCAAACAATTAGACAAATGCTTGCAAGACTAGGGGATTAATAAGATTTTCACTATTACAGTTTATAATACAAGCTCTAATGATAGTGCTATCGCATTTTTGAAGAAAAGAACCAAAGATTGACATTTCACTATCTTGGCAAATGAGTTTTTGCATATGAGATGTTGTGCACACATAGTGAATTTAATTATTTGTGATCGTTTAAAAGAACAAAATCACTCAATTGTCAAGATTCGAAAAGCCGTGAAATATGTAAAGTCATCTCCAACTAGGATACAAACTTTTAAAAATTATGTGGAGCATAAAAAGATTACTTGTAAAAGTTTGCTATGCCTTGATGTTCCAACAAGTTGGAAATCCACCTATTTTGTAAAAGTTTGCTATGCCTTGATGTTCCAACAAGTTGGAAATCCACCTATTTGATGTTGGAGATAGCCAAGAAATTCTAAAAAGTTTTCGAGTATTTAGAAGAGGATGACCTATGATTCAAGTTATTTTTCACGGAGAATGATGGTGAAAATGAGAATGCAAATGATAATGATGGTGGAAGAGGCAAAGAGAAAGGAAAAATATTCATTTCATATCCTAAAAAAGAAAATTTAGAGGTAGCTAGAGACTTTGTGAAATTTTTAAGATTTTTTTATCATGTGACTTTGCAACTTTCAGTGTCTTTGCATGTGATATCTAATGTTTTTTTTCATCAACTTGTATCAGTGCAATTTAAATTAGTTCAATTGGGTAAAAGTAGAGATGCAGTGTTGAGTAACATGGCTGATAAGATGAAATTGAAATATGACAAATATGGGGAGAATCTCGATAATATCAATTTCTTGTTATATGTTGCCATTGTGTTAGACCCTCGCTACAAATTAACATATCTAAAGTTTTCATTCAATAAAGTGTATGAAAATGACAAGGTAAAAATTTTAGTGGCGAAGGTGAAGGCAACATTGGAGCGCTTGTTTGATCATTATGTTGAGAAGAACAATGTTGCTAATGTTGCACCTTCATATGCAAGTCAAGCTCCTCAAGTGATAGAAGTTGATGAAGAGGAAGATGAAGATCCCTACCTCTTAATATATTTAACCATTTGGAGTAAAAAAAAGTGTGGAGAACAAATTAGAGTTGGAAAAATATTTGGTTGATGGTTGTGTAAACCTAAGAGTTCCAAACTTTGATATTTTGAATTGGTGGAAGGTTAATGGCAATAAGTATAAGGTTCTCTCTTTAGTTATAAGAGATGTGCTGGCTATCCCAGTTTCTACAGTAGCCTCTGAGTTAGCTTTTAGTACCAGTGGACGTGTGCTTGATCCATTTAGGAGTTCTTTGACACCAAAGATGGTGGAGACTCTAATTTGTGCACAAAATAAGTTATGGTCTTCATCAATTCCAATCAATCTTAGAGAATGTGTGGATGATGTTGAACAATATGAAAAAATTGAGTTAGGTAATTTTTTTGATTTGTGTTTATTTTAAATTAATTATTCAATATTGATTTTAACTTTTATATAATTTTGAAAAATATTAAAAATATTTTTTATCTTTCAAATTTTTTACATTATCTACTGCACAGGAAACAACTATTGTTGAGGAGTAATTTGTCTCCAAGTTAGTTTGGTTTAAAGTTCTTGAGGTTATACTTAATTTTTACTCTTAAATATTATTTTGTTGTATTATTTATTTTATTTTATTTTATTTTTTTATAATAATTCTGATGATAGTTTTTTGTTATTTATTTATGTTTTTTTTTGCTTATGTTTACAGATTAATGAAGTTTTTTGATTTTGGTTGAAGCAATTGTGAAGGATTGAAGTTATTGTGGAGTTTGATGAATAAATTAACTTATTAAACTTTTGGATTGTTTGTAGACTTTGATTAACTTTTCACAATTTTTTTTAGAACTATGTTGGATATTGGACTTAGATTAACTTTTGAACTTTTAAGATTGTTTGTGGAATTTTATTAACTTATAACTATGTTGGATGTTGGATGAATTATGTTCGACTATGTTGGATTGTTTGTGAACTATGTTCAACTTAGATTAACTTTTGATATTTTTTTAGTATTTATTGCCTTATTAAATTGTTATTATATAATTTATTTGGAGTGTTAGATTTTTAGTTTATTAGTTTGTTAATGTTGAATGTTGTATTAGATGAATATTTTAATTTTGACTATTTCAGTTAATTTATAAATTAGATCTTTTTACTCTTTGATTTAAGTTTTGTAATTTGAATTATATTTTTATAAATCGCAAAGGCAAATCTATCATTATTTGCCAACGGAATCACCGATTTTTGATAAGAAAAATGACAAATTATAATGACATTTTTATCAATCCGTCACCCACCATACGATTTTTATTTTTCTCTTAAACTGCACCGACCCGTACTGCACATACCCCTAATATCACCTCTCTAATTATATATATATATATATATATATTTTATAAAAAATTAAAAAGTGTATTTATTTAAGTCATCTAAACAATCCCAAACAAAAGTCATGAGTCTACATGAACCCCGCCGCATCTGATCCCAGCTATTACCCTTAAAAATGCCATCGAACGAGCCACAAAATCTCGAAAAACAGCACTCACCTCTCCCTCTCTCTCTCTCTCTCTCTCTCTGCAACGCTCTTTTAGGCACGAGAACTGTGTCCAAAGCCGTCGTCACTCCGGCTACTCAACGGTCTCTCCATTCACTTTCCTCGTTACTCTCTCTCTCTCTCTCTGTTCATTATATACAATGATTTCCAATGAATTTCACTAGAAGAAGCGCATAAAGTTTCTACTTACGGGGATCGATACTTGGATTCTTGGCTTGCTGGTTCGTCAATGGATCTGCAACTAGGGCTTTAACTTCTGCTAAAACCCTACTTCCCAACCTCTTCAAGCTTTTCGAATCTCAAAATGAAGCAGAAAAGCGAGCTTATTACTACTACAAAGATTCTGAAGTACGTTTTGATCGGATTAATCGTGTTCCTCGGGTTGATTTGTCTGTACTACGGTTCCTCGATCGCTCCTGGTTTGCCGAGAGCCGACGATGCTGCAGCCCTAGACGATGGCACCGATCCTGTAATCCGCGGCTTCGTTCCCAAACACGATTACTTTGATGAATTGTTCGAAGATCAAGAGCAAAATCCTGAAGTCCCCAAGAGTATACCTGTATGTAATGTGTTTAATTGTTGTTTGTTTTGGTTGAGTTTGAATTTGTTTTGTTTTGTGTTGTTGTTACAGGTATGTGATATGAAGTATTCGGAATTGATACCGTGTTTGGATAGAAATCTGTTGTATCAGTTGAAATTGAAACCGAATTGGACTCTAATGGAGCACTATGAACGGCATTGTCCACCACCGCAACGGCGTTACAATTGCTTCATTCCCCCTCCTACTGGGTACAAGGTCAGTCATCAGTCTCACTCTTCTTCGTTTGTTTGCTGAGAATGTAGGAAAAAAATTGAAGTTTATGAAGTTTAAACCTAATTTCATTACCAACTTAGAAAACTGGAAACGTCATTTGAATTCTTTTTTTCTTTTCTTTTTTTTTTTAATTTTTTTAATTTTTTAATTGGTTTCATTCCCCCTCCTACTGGGTACAAGGTCAGTCATCAGTCTCACTCTTCTTCGTTTGTTTGCTGAGAATGTAGGAAAAAAATTGAAGTTTATGAAGTTTAAACCTAATTTCATTACCAACTTAGAAAACTGGAAACGTCATTTGAATTCTTTTTTTCTTTTCTTTTCTTTTTTAAGTTTTTTAATTTTTTAATTGGTAAGTACTGTGACAGTTCTTTTAGGAAATGTTTTAGTTTTTGAGTCAAATGAGGTTATTGTTGGAATTCCAGATCCCAATTAGATGGCCCGCAAGTAGAGATGAAGTATGGAAGACAAATATACCACATACCCATCTTGCGCTAGAGAAATCGGATCAGAATTGGATGGTTGTGGATGGGGACAAGATAAAGTTTCCTGGTGGGGGAACCCATTTCCATGATGGAGCTGACAAGTACATTAGTGCTATTGCTGGGGTATGTGATGTTAACTTGACACATAAAAGTTATAATTTACTCATTCTTCTTGGTATATACTGATGCTCAACTATGGTACCTGCGCAGATGCTTAAGTTTCCTGGTGATAGACTCAACAATGGTGGGAATATTCGCAATGTTCTTGATGTGGGTTGTGGGGTTGCAAGTTTTGGGGCATATCTTCTACCCCTCAACATTATAGCTATGTCTCTCGCACCCAATGATGTTCATGAGAATCAAATACAGTTTGCCCTGGAGAGGGGTATACCATCTACACTAGGTGTCTTGGGGACAAAAAGATTGCCTTTCCCAAGTAGATCATTTGAACTTGCTCATTGCTCGCGATGTAGAATTGACTGGCTTCAAAGGGGTGGAATTCTCTTGCTTGAACTTGACAGATTGCTACGACCAGGAGGGTATTTTGTGTACTCTTCTCCAGAAGCCTACGCACATGATGCGGAAAATAAAAGAATTTGGAATGCTATGTATGATCTTCTGAGAAAGATGTGCTGGAGAGTTGTTTCAAGGAGAGACCAGAGTGTTATATGGGCTAAACCACTGAGTAATAGCTGTTACTTGAAGAGAAATCCTGGGACCCACCCTCCATTGTGCAGTTCTGAGGATGATCCAGATGCAAGTTGGAATGTGTTGATGAAGCCGTGCATTACCCCATACTCAGCAAGTAAGTAGAAACACTAACTGCATTATAACTGATCTCAAATACGTGAAGAACTGCCATCCTACAAACTCCGATACCCAAATCAATGCAGGCCCGTGTTTATATGTTTTTGTTTTTTGGCTGATAACAATTAGTTTTTATGGCGCCAAGGTAGATAAGAATATGAGAGTTTGTAAGGATGTAAGAATGTGTGATGTGTTGTGCTTTTAAGTAGGAAAAGGAAATGATGTCCCAGGAATCCACAGTACCTTGAGGCTGTTAGGTGTTTTTGAGATTCTAGGTTTGAATTATGGATTGTAGAAGGTTGGGCTTGCTTTTATAATTGACAGTTTCCTTGGAATTCAGGTATGGGAAGATGGAATTGTAGAACAGTGATTGTCTTAGATTTTGTTAGTGCAAAGGTTTTAATGTAATAAAAGGATTGTGATGTAATTTTTGGGTCAAAGAATTATGAAATATTTGTGATTGTGATTGAAATTTGTAAATCTTGTACCAAAGAAAAAGGAAATTGAAGGTCATGTCTCCATGAATCTTCTATTACTTTTGAGTTTAATGACTGATGGGATTCCTGGTGAAACTGCTAGTTTTTGGGAAACAAATCAGTGTGTTTGGTTTGAGTTTTTTGGATTAAGTTTTTTGAAAGTTGAGTTTTTTAATTTTCGTATTTTCTTATTTTTAGTGAATATTTTTAAAATTTTAAACAATTTTTTTTACTTTTTTAGATGCACCTTACTTAGATGTACCTAAAAAGTAAAAAAAAATTTGCAAAAAAATATTTTAAAAAATTAATAAATACATAAAAATACAAAAAATGTACTGAATTATTGTATTTTTTTTTTTGTATTTTTGGTATTTAGTGAATTTTTAAAAGGTTTTTTTCATAATTTTTTTATTTTTTAGGTATATTTATGTTAGGTATGTCTAAAAAGTAAAAAAAATTGTTTAAAATATTAAAAAAATTCAATAAAAACAAAAAAATACTTAAAACAAGAAAGTAGAATATTCTGAAAAGTGTTTTTGGAAAAATAGAACCAAGCAAAGTGAATATAACTATTTAGTGATACATAACTGGTATAATTGTGTTCGGAATTTGTTAGGGTTCATGGATTTCAAGTTTGATCATGAACACAGAATATGTAAATTGCTGCCATAGATTAGCTGGAAATATGAGGTTTCTTTTTGTTAGTTGATGTTGATGAATTCACAGCAAACATGACTAGTCTGTTTTTTTGTCTGGTTGTATTTATATCCTAGTTTTTCAGTGAATCTAGGGGCAGTTACTGGTTTTCACGAACATCATTATGACTATATTCATTGTTGTGGTTGACTCGTCGTCACCCCTTGTTATTTTCTTGATCTTTTCTGTTTTTCCCCTTGCTATTTTCTTTTTTTAATGTTTATTACCACTTATTTGATAATTCAGAAATGCACAGAGAAAAAGGGAGTGGCCTAGACCCTTGGCCAAAAAGGCTTATAGCGGCTCCCCCTCGTCTTGGAGAAATTAATGTCAGGTCTGAAGAATTTCAAGAAGACTCAGTAAGTTCCAGAATGCCAAGAAGGCACAGCAGGATTGCATCTTTCTTTTATGCTACTGTCTTTTATGCAATTCTGTTACCAATTTTGTGTTGTAAACTCCACTTTTAGTTGCTAAGAGATTCATGTATTGCAGAGTATATGGCATTATAGAGTGACAGAGTACTGGAAGCAGATGAAATCTGTTATACAGAAGAATTCCTTCAGAAATATTATGGACATGAACTCAAATCTTGGTGGATTTGCTGCTGCCCTTAAAGATAAAGATGTTTGGGTAATGAATGTTGCTCCAGTCAACTCATCATCCAGATTGAAGATTGTATATGATCGAGGCTTAATCGGAACAGTTCATGACTGGTATATATGACTGACACTTTTGCATAATCTTCTTCCTATAGATGTCTGAATCCTTTTTGTTTGTTTTCATAGTACGTACAACACCGTGTTTTTCTAGTTGTCTTCTGAAGAGCATCAACCATTAAATGGGTGTCTCAAATAATGTGTATGTATGTAGGATGCCTAAACAAAGGTTTCTTTCGTGTCCAATTCTTTGCATGGTGTTGTCCAATTCTTTGCATGTGTATGTATGTATACACCAGATGTTTCTAGGAGGATGGAGATATAATGAACTCCTATATTAACATGCTGAAAAATTAGGAAGACTTGATCTTGTGTGTGGCTCAATGGATGAGTGGATTATTGGCATATGCATGGTTGTTATGCCATAATCAGATGTCATAATCTTATGAATCATGATGACCTGTGGGTAATTTATATGCCAAGTATGCCTCTTTAACATTTGGAATGACTCATGCCCAGTTTGTTGGTGAACAAAAAACATTCCTTTCTTTTTGTCAGAATCTTAAAAGAATCAGATGTCTGTTTGTTTTTGCTCTGCTGGTCTTACTTGAATGCAATTTATCTGGGTATCAACTTTTCTATGCTTGTGTGCCATTATATCTCTAGAATCAGCATAGAGTGGAGCAGTATTTGTTCTCATTGCTTTCTGAGTTGCTGCAAATTTGTCATTTTTAAGAGTTTGTTGATGTATTTACAGGTGTGAATCATTTTCTACATACCCACGCACCTTTGATCTCCTTCATGCTTGGACAGTGTTTTCAGATATTGAGGGTCGTGGCTGTAGTTCAGAGGACCTTCTGATTGAGATGGATCGTATGCTACGGCCTGAGGGTTTTGTCATCATAAGAGACAAACCTTCTGTCATAAACCATATACGGAAATTCTTGACTGCCTTGAGATGGGATGGATGGTTATCAGAAGTAGAACCAAGGGTTGATGCTCTCTCCTTAAATGAGGAAAGAGTCTTAATTGCAAGAAAGAAAGTGTGGGAGGACGGTTCTACAACAATGTGAATATGCTGGTAAACATGCTTACATCATTATATCTTTCGCTTGATAATCTTGTAGAATGCTGGAACGAACTCCACCTTTATGTTATGAATGTTTTAGATGGATTAGAAGGAATATTTAAATTTTAATTCACTGTTATTTTTTAACTTTTTTTAGGTCATAAGTGCATTTAGGAGTTCAATGCTGACTGAATTTGAAAAGAAGGGACCGTGACATCTTTTCAGTTGCCTTCGCAGACAAGAATCCTCCCTCCCTCGGGCATTGGGGATGATAATGAGTTTAAAGCATATTGATATAAAACTGTCTGCGGAGTATGCAGTGAGATTTTATTTGGGTGATATAGATATGCATACCCGTTGGAAACAAACCACCCCTGAAGCAAAACAAGGATTTCCATATTGTGTATTTATTTGGGTTAGATACCAAGACTTTAAAATTTGATTTTAAAGTAACTTTGGCATTTATTACTCAAAACCCTGCCACTGGTCCTGCCCTTGCTTATTCTTTTACTGTTGTTTTATTTTTTGACAATAAAGAGCAACAGAGTACATTGGGAGAGTGATCTTTTTGCTTCTTTTCCAGAGAGCTGACCATCTTATTTTTACCATATTAAGGCCAAGGAGAGTGGGAATCTCATTCCCACATACCATGAGAAACCCATAGACTAATGTGAAGTATTTAATTTTATCTTTTTATTAAAAAAAAAAATCCAAACCAAACAAAGTCGTTTGGCATGTGAATTTTTAATTAGTTTTTTTTTTTTTTTTTTAGTTCCGGCTAAAAGTTTTTGTGAATAATGCTATATGTACTAATTAATATATACACCAGTATATTAACAGATGATGTGACATCATTTGTATGGTTTTAGGTATTTATAATTTGTATAGTAAATGTCGTCAATAATAATATCATAACACTAGTTAGTACACTAGTGTGGACACTAATTGATGCATGTAGCATTACTGAATTTTTGTTGGGTTGGTTTTTTTTTTATTTTTTTATTTTTGTAAAAAAAATAAAATAATTATGATTTGAATGTAATATTTTGTCTTATTAAATTTTTAGCTTGTTTTGTTTTTTTTAAACTAATTTAGCCTAAAAAATCAACAGTAATGGTTCAGAATATTAATTTTGTGCTCTAATAGTGCATTTAATGACATGGCAAAGAAAAACAAAAAAATCAAGACTAAAACATCACATCATAATATGTGGGATTTACTGTCAGTTCATTAGAATTGGTTTTAAAGTTCAAGAATTAGAATTTCAAAGTATTTTTCAAAAATCAATGCCAAACAAAGCCAAACTATATAAATTGCATTTAATACATCCTGTAATAAGATTTTCAATTATTTTGTTTGATTCCTATTATTTAAACACAATTTAAAAAATAATAATTTTACATAAACAAACAAACAAACAAATATTAAGGGTTGTTTGGAATGCTCTAAGTGTATTTTTTTATTTTTTTTTATAAAAAATATGAATTGACTATGGATTGAGTTTAAAGTGATGTGATAAAGAGGTGATGTGACTTAAATAAAATAATAATTTTTATTTTTATTTTTTTAAGTTATTACAAACAAGGCCTAAAAAATCTTTCGTACTCATTAATGTGAAGTGGGTCTTTTTTCATATTTTATTTATTTTTATTACATGACAATTCAGTTAGTTAAAAAAAAATTAACAAATTAATAAATTTGTATAACATTTTTCTTTAGAAAAACACATAATGACCCTTGGCACAATTTTATCAAATTTAGCTACTACTATATATCAAAATTTATTTATTTGTTTAGTAGCTAAAATTTATTAATTACTTTATAATATGTAAGTAAGAAAAAAAAATTATACTAGTATAAATATATATGTTGTATAATTTAATGTAATATATAATAATAAAGATTCGTTTGTGATGAATTTTTTAATTTTTATTTTTATTTTTGTGTGAAAAAAATAAAATAATTATAATTTAAATATAATAATTTTTAATCTAAAATTAAAAAATTTATTTTATTTTTTAAGGACTATTTTAGTCCCGACATATCAAGTCAAACCAGTGCTTAATTCATTAACCGACCTATCACTCTGCCGCCATGACTTCAGTTTCACGCAGTTGATTTAAAATAGCATTTCCTTCTTAATTTAGGATAAATTACAAAAATTCTGAGATTTATTTAAATTATAAATTATTTTTTGTAGTTTTAGAAATTACAAATGTGTTTGGTTTGAGTTTTTTAAATTAAATTTTTTGAAAATTCAGTTTTTTGTTTTTTCATGTTTTTTTGTTTTTAGTGAATATTTTTAAAATTTTAAATATTTTTTTTAGTTTTTTAAATGCACCTTACTTAGATGTATCTAAGAAGTAAAAAAATTGTGAAAAAATATTTTAAAATTTTAATAAATACATAAAAATATAAAAAATGTACTGAATTCTCGTATTTTTTTTTTATATTTTTGGTATTTAGTAAATTTTTAAAAGGTTTTTTCAAAAATTTTTTACTTTTTAAGTATATTTATGTTAGGTATGTCTAAAAAATAAAAAAAATTGCTTAAAATATTAAAACAATTCAGTAAAAATAAAAAAATACGAAAAACAAGAAATTAGAATTTTCTGAAAAGTGTTTTTGAAAAACACAACCAAGCATGGTTTTAATTTCATAACAAATAGGTTCTTTTATTAATATATCATCAAGTTAATTAACAATTTTTAATAATGTTAAAATTTTATTTTAATTAATAATTCAGATAATTTTATTATTGTATAGGTAAACAGTTAGAAATTTCACTTTTCAATTAATTTTGTTAAATAAAAACTTCTGACAGATAAATATTTATAATTTTTCAAACTACATGAAACAATTCATTTTTTAAGCAAACCTCAAGAGATATATTTGTAATTTACCTCATAATTTATTAATCCACCTCTCTCTCTGTTTCCCTTTCCTCTCATCCTTTCTCTTATTCCCTTATATTCATTCATTCCTATTACTATTAGGCCATGTTTGTTTGGGCGGACTGAATTAGCATTCCCATGACTAATAGTCCTAGGACTACGAATTCGTTGGATTATGTATCCTATCTTACCTCACTATCAATCCCCTCACTACTAATCCCCTCACTATCAATCCCCTCCATTCTATCTCTGAAAACAAACGACCCTCACTAACAATCCCCTCACTATTAATCCCCTCACTATCAATCCCCTCCATTCCATCTCTGGAAACAAACGGGGCCTTATTCCCTTATATTCATTCATTCCTATTACTATTAGTCTCATCTTTTTCCCTTTACCAATGAAAGCATGCTAAAACAAACAGTGAGTTATCTCATCTAGTCTAGTCTAGTCCAGTTCAGTTCCACAATTGAGAATAGTGAACAGAGAGAGGTAGATCTCGCCTACGGCCGGTAGCGGCTTTATAAAGCTGGATAAAAAACAAGTCGATTCCGAAGAAGAATATCTTCGTTTTAGTGGCGGATGAGGAGTATTTGGAAGCTATTAGAGATTTCGATGAGTAGCTGTTAGTGACTCTCACAGACTTTGTCTTTCTAGAAACACAGCCGCCAGATGAAAGTTTTCGGCGTTCGTTGGGTCATACCAGATTTTAAGTTCTTATTTTGGAAAAGATCAATTAGGGTTTGTTACGTGCAAGTTAATGGTGACATTAGATTTTTAGGGGTTGTTTGGGAGTGTGCCATATAAGCACACATTTTATTTTTTTTAGATTATATTATTTTTTTATTTTTAAATATATCTTTTTATAAAAAATTAAAAGGTACATTATTCTAAACTACCCTTAGACCATCTCCAACGGTTCACCAAAACTGATATCAAATTCAAATTTTGATGAAAAAGCTGCTGTTCACTGCTCCAAGGGTTGCACCAAATGAATATCAGATTGAGATTTCATCAAAAAATTTATCAAACTGACGACGAAATACTGATTTCACCAAAACACTGTTGGTGACCGTTGGAGGGAGACCAACCGGTCAACCAGTCGGTTGCCCGGCCGGTTGACCAACCGGTCGACCAGTAAAAGATTCAAACAGTTCAAGAAAAAAGTTCAAATCGTAAAAAAAAAAAAAAAAATTTTGCCTAACCGGTCAACCGGCCCGTCGACCACCCGGTCGTCCCGAAAAAAGTTTAGAAAGTTCAAAAAAAAGTTCAGACAATTCGCGAAAAAGAAAAAAAAGAAAAAAATTTTTGCCTAACTGGTCAACCGGCCGGTCGACCACCCGGTTGTCCCGGGATAGATTTGGTGAAAAGTGAACCGTTGGAGTGAGTGGTATCAAATTTGGTGAAATTGGTCATTTTTGACTCAAATTTTTAAAAATTTGAGTCACCGTTGGAGATGCTCTTAGTCTCTGAGTTTGCTCCTCTACGAGTCTGTGAGAGTAGAAAGGAAAAGAGAAAGATAGTCGAGTTTAGCCAGAAGATTTCTAGAGTAAAAGTGTCGATTAAATTTATTTATTTTTTTGAGTAAATTACACGTACCCCTAACATCCTAGAAATTATAATCTAAACTTTTATTGGGGTGTTTTAGAAAGTTGGTAAAAAATTAACTTTTGACTTTTTACCAAGTTTTTTAATTTTTTTGGAAAGTAATTTAAGAAGTTGGTAAAAAGTTATTTTTTTGCTTTTTGATTTAATTTTTGTTTATGGTGTCACATCACATTAAAATGATCAAAATACCCTTACTCAACTTAGAAAATTTACTTTTTTACCCATGTGTGTGTTTGAACAATTTTTTGAGAATGTAATATTAAAATTATTCAATGTTACTAACAATGTAATACATAGTGAATTCCGAAGAAATTGCGCTCTTCCCTTCTTCTTTTTTTCCCCATTTATTTTCTTTTTTTCCCCATTTATTTCTACTAAACGCAGTTGATAACCTTTGTTTTACGAAGACAAACAAACAGTTTTTATAACAAGTTCAACAGTGCGACACATTCATATCATTTCCCATCAATTGGTAAAGCCCGAACAGGATTACAGCCCAAGTTCACACCGATGTCGCAAACTCATTCCGAATTGATTTCTTAACTTCGTTCATATGTACGTCCTCATCGCCCTCTGGTTTACCATCATCGTCATCACCAACACTTGCAACATTTGGCATGTCGTTGAAAGTAAAAGTCTCTGCATTGGCAACCCTGTTGAAGGCTTCATCGTCGTTGGGGTTACGGCGTATAAAATTATGTAGTGCCATTGAAGCCCCAACCAATGGCACTTGTACTTTTCCAAAATCATACTGAGGCATGTTATGTAGGAAACCCCATCGCGCTTTCCATACTCTGAATGTACGTTCAATTACACTCTATAAGGAAGAGTACACCGTGTTGAAAACTTCGTTTGCATTTCTTGTCCGTCCAATAGCGCGAAACTCTTCCTGGTGGTATCGACATCCCTTAAAAGGCGTGTAATGACCCCCCCCCAAAATAAATAAATAAATTAAATTGAATTTGTTTAATGACTTATGTTTAACTGTTTGGTCCTTTTAAAATGTGATTGGTAATAACCACCTTGCGAGTTGTTATTATTTATTATATAGGATTATAATA